GAGAGAGAGAGAGAGAGAGAGAGAGAGAGAGGGGAACATCAACTGAAGATTCTGCCTTACCAGTGGGAGTGGAGGGGCTGCTTGGTGGTTTGGTGGAATACAAACGCACGTGGCACTTCTTGAATGTGGCATCAGGCAGGTCCCACAAAGGCATTGGTGTCAACCCAGTGGGTGACAAGGGTGCTTGGTATACAGTACTCCCTGTCATGACTGCTATGGTGAAGGGATGGGGGTAATGGCTTGTGCTATAGTGCTGCTGTTGTCTAGTTCTCTGCCAAGTGCCTACAATTCAAAAGGAAATTTCATATTTCATAAATGGTGGAGGGAGGTTACAAGAACACCTGATATCAATTAATACAGGTGTTTGTAAATCAATTTAGGTATTAATGATGCTTATTTGCATATTGTGGAAAAGTGAATAAAAAAAAAAGAGATAAGGAAAACAAAAATGTAGAAAAGAACATATCATGAAGATATATAATTTACTAATCAGCTCTTACTTATGATACCATACAATCTCAAATTCCTAATTACTTTCACAGGAAACTGAAATGTTCATAGAACAAATAACCCTTAACAGATTGAATAACCTTTCATCTCTCTCAAATTAAGGCTTAATTACATGGATCTGACAACGATTCCAGATAAGTTTACTTTTGTAAAACGTACTGTTAGTGCAATTTTTCAATCAAGTAACTAATTCACACAAAACTTTGTATGCATTACAAATTCCTCCTGTTACGAATTGACCATCAGGGTCACATATTATAAAGAAAAGTGGGAAAGAAACTCCATGCGTCACAACAGAATAATCTAACTAGCTTCAAGTTGCTATTCCCTGAGAGGAGGAGACTACATGAATTTGTCAGTTCTGACACAGAGGGTTGTAAATTTACTCTGGCCCATGGTAGTCCACTGAAAAGAGGTTGGGCAATACTGGGTTATGATAAACATAACCCTGAATTTCCAGCCACTGAATAAGTTTCCCCTGAACATTCTTCATTACGGAGAAAACCAATTTTTGCATACCCTGATGATTCAAGTGTATGATGTCATTCAAGGCACCTCTGCAGTTTCTCTCACACAAAACCCTTTATCACACGACATAGAAAGCTAAAACAGTGTTAGGAAAATTCTCTACAAGCATGCACATATATGTTATGGAGTGAATGGTGAAAATAATTCTGCAAACAGCATATTAAATAATTATTAGTTATCAAATTAGTTTTTGGAAACACTGTTTCAAGTTCCTAGTCATGTTTGTCCCATCACTGTATCAGCAACACTGGTGGGAACTCACATGGTCTTTGTGGCCTTGTTATTCGAGATTAAGCACAGGGAACACAATGATTAGGAGGTCAACCACCTTCTTTATGTATCAACCATGAGCCTTATGGTTTAGTAATCGTATCAATAAAAGAAAATGATCATACATAACCAAACAGAATCAAACCTTGTGTAACAACATCTCTTTTTCAATCAAATGCTAAAATTATGTTTTCCATAAACCTGTGTCTGTTTATGAAAACACCTCAATGATAATAAGATGATATTACTAATCTTATCATGCATTATCTGTAAGGAACAAATACCCTACTTATACTTCACGCAGTGTTTATGAACAAGAGATAAAAGTATCTTGAGATATACCTTAAATCCCATCTAACATATAAATGCACTTTAAGAAAAGTATTCTTTTCTCAATGAAAGAACTGCACAAATCAACACAAAGCACAAAGTCGAAGGACTGAAGTATAATATAGCATATAGACAACCAATATAAGTTAGAATCAGAATTGTTACTAACCATTTGCAACTGATGTTCTGAAGAGGACATGATGACACCTCTGTACACAGTAACTCCACTTCTGGATCTTTTCTGCGCATATTTGCTCTCCTAACTTCGGTTGAACTCTAAATACCTACAAATAAAATGAAAGATCATCAAAATCATATACTGTACTGCATACAAAAAAATTAGCAGCACACAATAAACAACAATAACAACGTAAGCAAGTGGAAGATGAAGTAGAAAAAGAAAACAAAAGTAGAAAAGCGCAAATGAAACACATAAAAACTCAAAAATCTGAATTACAAAAACAAACCCATCCTAAACTTGGAAAACATCCAACTCAATTTGAGTATCTTGATAAAGCACCTACAAAGAATAAACTTAATTGTAAGTACCTATTTACATAATCTAATTCTGTAAAAAAGAAGAAGGAAAAAAAAAAAACACACACACACACAGATAGGCATGCAGGCACATATGAGTGCACACATGTACACATACATGGGCGTGCGTACACACACACACATACAAATGCACACATGTACACAGACCTGGGTGCATATACACAAGTGCACACATATACATAGACATGGGTGCACACACACAAGTGCACACATGTACATAGACATGGGTGCACACACACACACACACAAAGACACAAACACACACAAACACACACACACACATGTACACAGACATGGGTGCACA